AGGCGGACAGCGTTATTCTTTTGTACTGTCATCGTTTGATGCCTGCGGTTGCAGAGAGTTCGGTTAGGGCTGGAGAGCAGCCGGGAGCTGGCTGCTGCAGTGCCTGGCATTCGCTTGCCAGCGCTGGCGAAGCGTGTTATGGATGTGCTGGGAGGGCTTTTTCCTTTCGTTTTGTCTTCTTGCAATCATTTCCTGGCTCATCTTCTAATGCCATGTGCTCCAAGGAGTCAGGGAGGGCTCAGGAAGAGCAGTACCACTGCATGCGGTGGAATGATGTGGCAGAAACACTTTTTTGCTCCATCTCATATCACGTATTATGCCATTAAGTATAATGCATATGCCGTGTTTCACAGAGAAAGCCCGTGAAATTTTGTTGGTAGTATTTCTGGTTTTTCATGTTTGTAGGTTGAGATTTTCTTCAAAGCCACAAAACCCCCCTGACCTGGGGTTCTTTGAGAAGTCAGAAAGCTTTATAGATACAGGGGATCCAATCAGTGTCATTAGCTTGGGTTGACAAAAGTCTGTCAAGTAAACGAAGCAGCTGGAATACAAGAGGAAAGAGTTCTTGCACAGGCAAATAACTACAGTAGGATACAGAGGGTAGCAGTAAATGGTTTCCTCCTGCAGTGGTGTTTCAGAGTGATCTGTCCTGGGCAGTTCAAACTAGTTGACCTGGTAAAGCGGTGAGCTGTAAAGTGAGGAGGTTTGGTGATGATACTAAGCTGTGGAAAAATATTAAGGACAAGGGTCAGCTATGAAAAAAATTGAGAAAGACCTTATAAGGCTGTGTGAGCAACAACATGGCAAATGAAATGGCACAGAGGGATGTACATGAACAGAAGGAACCAGCTTTCTGTGTAGAAGGTGGGCTGTGAGCTCACCATTATTACCTGGGAGATGGATCTTGGTGTTATGACAAAACGGAGTTTTCGTGGGACTGGGCTATACCACTGTTCATAGGGCCTCTTGGTTTTGACAGTGGCCAACAGCAGATGCCTACGGAAGAGGGAAGAAATTTAGGGCAAACGCAGAGAGATGCTTTCCACTGGTGGTGTACCAGCCTCCAAGAATTTGCAATTCAAGGTCTTCCCTCATGAGAAGTTTAAACTTGTGGTAGGTTTTTGGTGGCTTATTAGCCAAGGCATAGGAGTAGGATGTGTAATGTTGTCCATTTGAGTGCAGAGTTAGATTTTGACATGTATCTCTGTAATCTTTGGGAGAAGGCAAGATAAATATCAGAAAGGACAGGAAGAAGACAGAGCAATCCTAACTGTTCCGGGGCCAATCTACAGTTCTTGGCTAAAGAAATCAAGACAGTTCTCGAACTGTGAGCTGTTTCCTTGTGGTTACTTATTCATGAATGTACTTTGATGCAATCATGCTGCTATTCGTGGTTATGACCTGAGGATTTTATGGGATGAAAACAGGAACTTCCACAGATGAAGTAATCTGTTGTAAAAGTGTTTCTGAGGAATACTTTGACACATCTGTATATATTCCGAAGAGGTGGGTTTAACATATTAATGACAGAACCTAGTAGGATTATAAATATGTATGATTATAAACACTGTCCGTTTTCTAAAAAAAAAAAAAAACAACAAAAGAAAAACCCAAAACAACCAAACCTCTTCCTTCATTAAAAGGTATTATTTTAAGGCTAGTGCAGGCATTGCTGTGCCTTACTGTGTCTTAATATTCATCTGAGTGGTTTGTAAGAGATGGTTTTAAAGTTTGAGTGTGTGTTCAGGTATTTGGAGAACCAAAAAAGACAAGTTTTAGCATTCCTTATGCTGCAAAGGCATAATACTAGAAGGTTAGTGGCTTGGCTTTTAATGCCGTGTTAAGGAGTCTTCAGTACTGGAGGAACTGATGCTTTGTGGCCTGTAAATGTATGGAGAATATCCCCGTGTTTCCTGATGTACTAATATCTCTGCTCACTTAAAGCAGACAAGTTGAGAGTTTATTGTTCTAGTAAAGGCCACTGTTTGCTTGGCACCATATCTGCAACTTTTTATGCAGAGAGATGTCTGAGAAAATGGGCTCACTGTTAATGATTGAACAGAGACACATAGCTAAATAACTGCTGTGTGGACAATTCCTGGTTTGTGCCTTTGCTCTATTCCTGCAATAGTGAGGTGCTGCTGCATTTGTGTGTGCTTCGTGCAAATTTTAAAGTGCAAAATTGAAGGAGGATGCCTGTGGAGTACAATAAGTCTCAAATGTACATTTTTGTGAAATACTTGTGTAAATAAGGTAAATAAAAATTATTTTAAAACAAGGTAGTTTGTTTCAAGCAAATGTTTGTGTTGATGGATAGGAATGAAAAATTCACCAGAGTTGTGTTTCTGTGTTTATAGGAAGGGGCTGTCCAGAGGTTCCAGAAATCAGTGTCTTTCCGGAAAAAGTGGAGAGTCTCTTCCAGCAGTTTTTGAGAGAAATGTGCAGGAAGCCATCAACAATTATACTTGGTATGCATTCACTTCTGAAATAGTACTTCATTAATGGACTCTTGGTTTAAGTAGGTATTTCAAGATTGGTGTTAATTTTCACTAGTTGTCCTTCTAGTCATTCTCATGGATGACAACAATTGCAGGATATAATGCGGGGTATAAATTGACCTAACGCATTGCTTAGAGGGTTTGAACTTTATTCCTGGTTTGTGCTATGGATTCGCATGTTTTTAGAGCATAGTGAAGGGCACCGATAAAGCCTGGAAGGGAAGTCAGACTTCATGGTTAAATGCAAATAATGCTCACCAGCGTTGCAGGTCCGTTAACTTTCAAGAAGTTTCATTCCATTTGGCACTGGTTAGGATTTGCCTGGCCTGTATGTCTGACTGCCCTTGCTTTCACTGCATCCCAGGGTGCGTGGTAGCTGGCATGGACCAGCTAGAGCTTTCTGAGAGCTGGAATTCCAGAGCTCAAGGTTTAAAGTGCACCAGGTCTGACAGCATAAAAGACATTGTGTACAGATATGTAACTCAATGCTGTTTGAAACATTTGTAGAGATGTTATGCTCAGCTATGCATAATTTTCTTGTGATAGCTTCTAATAGAGTTAAAGAAGGCTTATGTTGTCTTTAATGTATAGTTTTGCTGTGCCCATTAGTTGAACTGGAGAAAACAAAATTGTTAGAGGTGGAAATGCTGGGTACGTGTGTGCGTTTTTGTATGTGTGGATATATTCTAGAGTGCCCTTATAGTTGCAATGATAATACATGAGCGTAATGCTGTAGAAGGAGTTGCTTTTAAGGCAGTAAATGGTACAAATAGGAGCATGTATTCATTGCGTTCTACTTAAAAACATACATTTGCAACTCTTCACATTGACTCTAACAGCATGTCCTGAAAATCTTGCATCCAACAGGAATATGTGTCACTGTCCATTTACGTGATCAGTTGCATTATTTTAAAAATATTTATACAGAAAAAGATTGTGTTCTTCATTTTAATTTGTCATCTTTTCACAGTGAAACACTTTCACCACTTCCATCACTTTCATCTAGTGGTCGTACAACGCCCACAGAGTTGAATAATTCTTGGTCTGGAATAAACAGCTATACTACTGGTTTGTCTACTGAAAGAAGTTCAGTTTACTCCTGGAGGGATGATGTATGTCACAGAAACTTTTGCAGTACACTTTATCTGAATATTGTAGAATAGATTAATTTGTACAGAAAATGGACATGTAGCACGTGTCCTGTAGCAGAAGTTAACCACTTTCATTGTAGCCTAATGATTAAGTATATAAATTGAATATTTAAAAAATAGTTCTGTTTGCAAGTTGATATCAGTGCAGCTGATGTGTAACAAAGAAAAATGAAATAAAAATATGAAATGGTGAAATTTGGGAGAAACAAACCTGTTTTACCAAAGAAGGTAGGCTTAGGTTTCTGAGTCCAAGAGAATGATAAAATATGTGTTTTCAAATACTGCTTAATGCAAGCAGTGTCTAAATTGATCTATTCTCAATGTTCTGAGTCATAAAGTACATTCATGAGCATGCATGTAAATGTCCCAGTCTGAGTAACTATTTAGTTCTTAGTAAGCTCAGTTCTGTTTCGTAGATGATGCAGAGAGAGGTTAAACCTGTTAATGGAGGCTAACCTCTGAGGCATACCTGGTGCAGGCTGGCAGCATTGGGTAAATCCAAAAGCTTTGCAGTCACTGCCACCTTTATTTTAAAAAGCCATCCATGGCTGGTAGTGGTAGTTCTGCCATACCTTTTGCATAATACCCTAACGTTTAGGTTACTCACCCCATCTGTCACTTCCAGCCCTCCAGGAGAAAGCCTGACCCTGGATCATACAATAACCTGGGTGAGAGTTGTTTTCGCATTCCTTTTTGGTGTGATCCCTTCTGTAGCCTGAAGTGGTTGGGGCACTGAGCTGGAAGTGAACAGATGTGATTTGGGCCCCTAAGTATTATCACTCTTTTCTGTGTTTCAGAGTGTCTAATATAAGTGGCCAAATATCGTTATGAACAGCGCCTCAGCTGAGGAGCCCTCAGCCAAGTGCTTGTTTCCACATCACTGGATAAAGTCAGGCTCTTCCTTGCTACCTTCATATGCCCCTGCACTCGCCCATTTCTGGTTGCACTGAGTTGTAGCTTCAGTGAAGAGGTGTGGAAGGCCGTTTCTCACACCGAGGGTTGTTTCCTAACCACCAGACTATGTCATGCAGGAGGAAGGTGCCCCCTCTTGGCCCTCTTAGCTGCTTTACTTAGAAATGGAAAGTGCTGATCAAAAGAGCAGGGAGCTTTGGTGCTGTGGGCTGCAGAGGGTGCAATGTGCATGCTTCACTCCATGTTGGAGCAGGGAGGGAGTCAGGAGTCCAGACGCTTTATAACTGGTGTTTTCTGTTGGCTAATCCTACACAGCTAGTTCCTTTTTGCTAAATCACCTTGCTCAGGCCAGCTGCCTGTTTTTTTCTTTTTTTTTTTTGTTTTTTTTGCACTGCAGTATATAAATTGTGTCTCCAAAATAGGTAGTCTGGAGATCCATTCTGAGATGGTCAACTAAATCAGTCCAAGTTGTCCTGTTCTTTAAATATTGTGAAGTTTTTAATACAAATAGGTATGCATATTTGCTAACAGCTATTAATTTTACAATATATAGGAATTTGATAAAGCCAATACACAGAGAGTGCATCAGTTATTTTGGGAGATTGATGAAATGCTGTTTGAAGGAAAAGTGACCACCCAAACTCAGAGCCTGCAGGCAGAATGTGCAGACTGGGTTGAACGATTTCCTCATCTAAGGTAAGGAAATTTCTCGCTGGTACTAGTTTTAATCAATTATCACTCTAATTTGAATTTTTGGGGTACCCTCATATGAATTGCTCTTGAAGTATGGCATCGGTAACACCTTTGCATTCAAGTCTGGATCTCTGGGACTAAGCTGTGCCATAGTTACGCAGTAAGTCTGGGTGGTGGTGCACTAGCAGCTAATGCTCTTTATTTTGCTTAATACAATGGTTTCAGACAAAGATTTTAGCAGGACGTAATGAGAAAATAATAATGCACCATTTTCATAATGACTTTTTCTAAGTAAAGAATGCATCTTGTAAAGAAATATTCTGGTTTTTCTTCTAAGAAGAAATGAAAAATGAACGTGACCACATGCTTCACATATACTGCAGAGCCATAATGGCTTCCTAGGCTATGTAAATCAATGTAATACAATGTGTGATATTAACCTAACAATCACTAGCTGAACAGATATGAGGATGCATACATGATTAATGAGAATTGTTTTGCATACATGTGCAAAATGTCTAGGCAGCCTGATGACTGCTTCGTATAACACAGGGGACAGAAGTCACTGTTGCACTGCGTGTCCTGTCTTCATAAATAGATGGCATGTCGTTCTTAGTGAGATGTCGTGGCTCTAAGCTATTCTAAAAATGGACCTGCGTGTGTCTATCTTCTAGTCAATACTTTAACACCATTAAAAAGAACACTGTCAATAACTGTGGTATGCTTTCAGTGCTTTTAGATAATTTGCAGAGGCTTGTTACTAGTAAATATAAACTAAAATCAAGTAATATAGCTTGTCACACTTTGTCAGGAACAAGAGAGAATTGTTAAATAAAACTGAGGCAATTTTCAGTAACATTAAGGCATGTTTTGCCTTTTTTAGATACTGTAAAAATTAATAGAACATGCATAAAATGGAAACAGGTTTTTGTGCTGTGTAATTCATTCAAAATATTAAGTCATTTCACTATATTTTCAGAGTATTTTCACTTGGTGGAATTTTTTTAAGTGGTTCCCTGTATTTAGGATTTTCTGATTCAAATCTGATGCTGGCAATACCAACCAAGTGCAAGAGGTTGAAAGCAAACTGAAGACATCTGGGAGCTCTGTGTCGTTTCGTACTAAGGGATGCGGTACATACTGTGGTTTAAAAAGAAAAAGAAAGTTATTTTCATTATTAAGCTTAAACCATAAAACTCAGTTTGTGTTGACTAGTTATTCAAAAGAATAGCTTCTGGGATGCCAGATTTCTTTGAGAGTTGTGCTTCAAAGAGGCTGCTGGCTGTCCTATTTTTCAATTTGGTAAAACAGCTATGTCGATATATGAATACTTAGCTCAGCATGTGGGAATAAATATTCTTGAACTGTCATCAATAAGAGAAAGATCAGATCTATTTAAAGAGAAAGCTTTTTGTTCTTGGCTTACAAAATAAAAAGTGGAAAAAGGCTATTGCTTAAAGCCTCATGTGGCATGAAGTGCTATTTTGCGAAACTTAGTCTCAAGAAAATGTGTTCAGATGAGTCTGAACATTGCTGCTTGCACTGCAGCTGTGACTGGCAACTTCTTTTGAGATCCGTTGTGAATTCTAGTGAAACACAGTTCAAGCAGTGATTATTATTTACCTGTACTGTGTTCAGAAATTATTTTATAGAGTAATTTTGTGTACATTTAAATAGAGTTGCTTTTACCTTTTCTCTCTGCCTATGTGCATTATGCATGTTGGATTTTGTGCATTTTCTGAATTCTAGTCTTAACTATCCATGTAAACATTTTGGGTTAGGACTTCTGATCACATTGATAGATACTGGAGTTGAATAAGTGAAGTCATAACAGATATTTGTCTTTTGCATCCATTTTTAAAGAGTTTTGATAAGAAAGAAAGTGTGTTTACTTTATCAGCCTTCAACAAGTTTGACTTTTTTTTTAAACTCTTAAAAATTACAAGCTATAATCTTGCATAAATCAGCTTAACTTTAATGACTTAAATACTAGGCAATGTTAATGTATTGCACAAGGCCCTGCCTGCTTCATAAATTGCTTTTTCAAAGCAAATGTAAGGTGTGCTTTCGCATTGCCTACTGTTTGCAGGTATTTGTATTCTTGATATTTGCATATGGAGTGGGTTTCCATCTAAGATATTGCTCACTCTCTCCTTTTTATTCAGGGTTCTAGGAAAGCAGCTCCTATTGCTGAAGGATGAAGGCTTTCAGCATTTTCAGAGCAGAAGTGATACCTCTGTGGATACTAAGTGTTTACCAGGACTCCGTGAATGTACTAGTAATATAAAAGAGTATGTTTATTTTTTTGTTTTCTTTTTAGTCTTCCCTCTTCAGAAATATGTACAAGTATTACTTTTGTATTACTGAAACATTTCAGTGTAATTAAATATGCACTTTCTTCTTTCTTTGAATATTTAATTCTCATTTTGTTGATATTTTTTCAGGCTCTGCATTTCAGGCTCTAAACTGATCCCAACAGCATCTCCGATACATAAATCACTAGATTCAAGTTCCACTCGGATTTCTGCCTCTGACTCATCCATGTATTCGTTCCTGGAAGAAGAAATCTATGATATGGATGGAAAAATAGAAGAATATCTGGCCTTTGACAACAAGGAGCTGTAAATAACAGATATATGTATTTTTGAAGAAAATAATGAGAAATTATTAGTGAGCCCAGTCAGGGTTCATAAACTGTGTTTCTCTTCTGTAAAATACAGTTCCTTCTGTCCCTGTATTCAGTAGCACAGTGGTCAGAGCACTCACTGGGCATGTGGAAGATTAGGTATGTTGTCTTTCTAGTGGTTCAAAACTTGCATCTCCCATGTCAGAGGAATGTGTCTTAACCACTAGTTGTTTTGAGGTGTTTTGTGCATGGAGATTCAATAGAATGACTATTTGATTTTGAGACAGGGAGTGGAATGAAGGAATCCCTACTTCCCAGGTGAGTGCCTTGACCACCAAGTTTTTTAGGGTCATTACACTGTACGTGCTCTCATTGTCTGCCCTAATGAATCTTACTTTCTTTTTGTACAGTGTATAACAGCTTTGTGAGGAGAGGCGCAGGATACAGCCTGCATTTAGAGCGCTTTTGTGAATGACAGGAGTAATGCCACTGTCTTCTCGACAATGCAGTCTAGGTTTCCCATGGCCCAGTTGAATGTTCCAGCAGCTAGGCTTCTGGGTAGAATAAAGACCATAATGTGCCATTTTCTAAAAGGCCTCTGCAAGGGGGGAAGTTTTGTAGGACTGGTAGGGCACAAAGCATAACTTTTTGTGCTAAAGCTTGATGCATTTACAGGAAAAAGACGTGGTTGCTCTGAAAAACTGAGAAACCAGACTGAGACCCAGGTGGACCCTTTCAGTCCTGTTTTTGAAAGAGAGGGCCTGGGTGCCTACCGTTTTGGGAAGGATTTAGGATTAAGAATCCTTTTAGGAGTGAAGTATCACTTTGTTTTGCTAAGTAAGCAAACTTAATTTGGGAGAGGGATTTGACTGAAGGTGCTCTCCTTTGTGCCTCCTTGATATGTTGTTTCTTGTTTCCTTCTCAGTATTTGATTCTGAAATATCTTATTCTCCATAACTAAAACATTAGGAGTTACAAAGCCTGATACGAAAACAGCTTGGTCATTTTGCAAGTTGGACCATTCAGCCAAGTCTCAGTTATAGTTAAGAAGTTTGCAGGTCAGTTTGAGGAAGAAGTAAAAGAAGTAACTGAGAAGAGAAAGGGAGATAGTAGAAACCAGCATGAATGTGGGATCATCCTTGAAATCTCAAAAAAAATTGCGTTTCCTTAGAAGGAAGTATCATGGCATTAAATCAATAATTTTAAAAAATTTAAATTTTCTTCCTAAGAAGTGTATTAGAAGACCAAGTTAGGAAATGTTGCTACACTGTGCTTCCCTAGGTAGGAAGAGAGGGAGGGTAAAAAAAAAAAAAAAAGAAAAGAAAAAAGTAACTGTCTACACAGCAGTGGAAAGGAGGGAGGTGAGCATAAGGCTATGGGCTCTGCTATTCTTGTCAGGCTGCAGAAATCCTTTGAAGTTGTTTGTCTTTGATAAGTGGTGACGCGTTGCAGATGTGTGCAGGTACACAGGATGTGATATAAAAGAAATGTTCTGTGTTATAGTCCTCCTGCCAAATGCAACAGACAATAGTTGCCTTATGTTATGTTTAAAAACATAGGATTTAGTTTCAGATGACTAAGTGCCATGGATAAAGCTGTTCCTTCTAGAGCTGCAGATCTTTCTGTTCTGATGCCCTGACTGGATTTTTTAATTTTTTACCTGCAAGCAAAAGAAAAAGAAATCATTATATGTATTCGATAGGTTCTGTTCCCACAGGTACTCCGTGCATTTGAATTTGAATTTTTTTGTGATCTACATCTGACTTGCTTTTCTTCCATATGTATGTTTCTATTCATTTGGTGTATTAGAAAGGAAAAAAAAGTGAAAACTCACAGGAATTCATTTGAATTTGCTTCCTTTATTAGTGATGATGAGAGTTGGGAACAAAAGAAAATGCATCTTGCTGAGAAGAGGAGTAAGCGTGGCATTCCCCCTGTTTCTCCCAATGCCTGTATCAAAGATGCCGTGGTTTCTGAAGTATTTGATTGTATCTGGAGCAATGTAATTGGAATATTAGAGGAACTGATTAAAAAAAATTGGGAAACTAGTATCACAGGTATTTGGTATTTTTAGATAATGTATTTATTGAATCTAACTCAGGAAAGTGATTTCCCCCCCCCCCCCCTTAAAGCTTGGGAAATCTGGTTATTTTAAGATAGCCATGTTGGTAGTACAGCATTGTCAGATATGTAGTGCCTTACCACACGCATGTGTGTGCGTGCACACACACACCGCCCTGCACCTAAAATATAAACAATCCTACTATTTTTCAGCGAGTTTTGTATGAGATACACAAAAAAAAAAAAAAAAAGAAAAATGAAGACTGAAAGAGCTTCCTTGCAGGACAGCATGTTTAAAAAAAAGAAAATATTAATCACTGGCTCAGGTTGCAAATTGATGCTGTTAGCAGGGGATCGCTGATGATGTGATCTAAATCTGGAACCTAGGAATCAAAGTCTCCTAGTCCTCATTGTTTGAGTTTTGTTAATAAAAAGAACTCCTAGGTAGTCAGAATGTTAAAGCGAGATAGACAGCCTTGCTGACAGTGCAGGAGTTCATGAGTTTAATATAGGATGAAGAAATGGTGATGCATGCGATTTTATTTTCTGTTATTCTGTGTTTATATTCTAACAGACTGTGGTGAGGAAAAGCAAAAGCTAGGAAAGTTAACTAGAAGTGAAATTCTGTTTAGTGTGCACGTGTTGTCCTTGGAGGCTGAGGGAAATTTCAGTTCTTCTTTTAATGTATTTTAAAAGGACAGTAACAGAAGAAAACCTGGGGGTGGGTTTTGGAAATCGCCTCAAATGTAACATGCACTCAACCTCAAATATAAATCTACAACAAAGTAAGAAATGGCAAAACTTCTCAGAATACTTGCAGCATCAGAACTTAATATTTCAGGTGTTACTGAAATATAAAAGGGCTTTTCACACCACAGGTGGATTGTTGAGCTCAATATTGTAGTTCAGGGAAGATAGCTTAGCAGTTGATAGGCGTGCTCTTTTATCTTTGTGAAGGTCATCAACTTATTACAAATAGATAGCTAATCAAAGTATTTCGACTAGGAATGTAGAAAATTTGCATTTATAATAGAAATAAGATGGTGGTATATACCCCAAATGAAACAGTGGGTAGCTGCTATCAGGCAAGGATAGGATCAATAGACTTTTGTTTTTCTGTTCATCTGGTTTTTTTTCCTGCTTTAAAAAAAATCTTTGGGAAATTCTGAATAACATTCCAAGAGTCTTAGCAGTATTTTCTTAAACACCCCTCCAACTCTACTTGTATAGACCAACTTGTTTGTCAGTGTCAGAGAAAGCATAAACAAACGGCAAATGCTTTCACAAAAACATCATTTATGGTGGATTTTTAAATATCATGTAAACTTAAAACTGTATGAAAGTCTTTATTTACTGTGCAGTGTAATGTTTGAATCTCAGCAAATGATGGCTGGTAAATGTACAAAAAGCAAGTTATTTCCTGTACTTTTTTTTTTTTTGCTGTTGTGCAGAGGGTGACAAACAGGTGGAAAAACTGAAAGCTGTTACAGCAAAACTGCCACATTTGCCAGTTGTTCGTATTACAGCAGATGCTGGGAGCATTCCTCTTTCCAGAGGCTCTGAAGCACGAAGTGTATCGTTTGGGTCTCATTTTGTTTCCTCGCAGGTAAAAATAACTTTCCGTCAAATGGTGTTCTTTTTTCTGCTAACTTTGGACAGAGTCCTGGTTAAAGCTAGAAAAGGTGCGCTTTTTTTTTCCCTTCACCCCCCCCCCCCCTTAAAAAAAATTGGTTTTTTCCCCCCCCCCCCCCCCCCCCTTAAAAACAATTAGGTATACTTAAATTACGTTGTCTCATTTAAAATAAAGGTTCGTTAAATGTGCATTTCTTGTTTACTATCACTTGTTCTTTGTTGGTGGTTCTTAAAGGTGCCATTTATGACTAAGATATTGCTGAAATTGGTTTACAAAAAAACCACTTGTTAGACTGTATTCCATCCTTAGAAAATAATTCTGCTTTTATTGTGGTCCAGTCATTTCCTCTTGGTAGAATTAAGAAAACAAATGAGACTCTTCCCTGGACTGCAGGGATGTGAAGTTGCAACTTAGTGCTTTACTTGCAACCCTGTGAGTTTCAGACTCTCTTATTCCTTTTCATTTCCTTTGCCTCTTGCAAAAGGGGACTCTACTGTACGTCCACCAGCACCAGCGTGCTGGCACTAGGCCTTACCTGTCTTTGTGGAAGCTTGTGTTTGTATTGATAAAATGTCTTTTTTTTTTAAAAATTTTTTTTTTTTTTTTTTTTTTTTTTTTTTTTTTTTTTTTTTTTTTTTTTCCATGCTTGCTAGGTAGCAAGATAAGAAATGCAGAAGAGAGAGCACAGCAGTCTTGGTGCTCCCTGCTGGCACACTTGGTTCTGTTGCGGTCCCAGCAGCCAGAAGTAGTAAAATGCTTAGATAAGTGAAGCTCAGGGTCTGTGCCCCTGGGCTGGGCTGTGCTGAGCAAAAATGGAAACTTTGGAGAACCAAACTCCGGCTTCAGCTGAAACTTATATTGCAAATTGAGTTGCAATTCAGTAACTGAATTACCCAAGTTCTGTTTGTAAGAATCTGTTTAAAATAAGCAAAACAACATATTTGCCCCATCTACTACTGCAAATTCTACTGCACCATCTTAACAAAAACTTTCTAGAAACAAGTAAAATATCTCCTAACTACAGGCTTTTTGAGGTTTTCCTTCAAAAAAAGTAAAGGTTAATCCATATTTGTTGCTTTTACTAGGTTCACCGTTTCTCCAGCAACTTCTGTAGTGATTTGAATGGTGTGATGACAATTCAAGCAAAACCCCTCCAACAGAGGCATGTTGCCACAGTAGAAAAAATACAGTAGGTGTTGGTATTGACGTTTTCAAAATGCGGCATAATTCATATTATGCAAAAGACCTTTTGTAATTACAAAAAGGCGATAAGGCGGCAGTTATCTCCTTTGTGTGTATCACTGATGTAACAATGATTTGTAAAGGTTATAATGATACTCTTAAAAAATCCTTTTACTTTTTTTTTTCTTCATCCTCATTCCCTGTCTTGTTCTCCTTCCTTTTTTCCCTAGGAATGAGCAAGAAGACAAACAGCATAGCATTGCCTCCAGTGCACCAAATTTAGTGCACACTAGGTTGGGGAGAACTGCTGATAACAGTGTTCTCTCATCATCTCGGGTGCTGCTGGCGTCTTCTAGGAAGCTACCAAGCCATCGTAGGTTACCTTCTCTCACTTCTGATCAGCTCTCCTCAAAAGCTCCTAATAAGTACAATGATGAAATCCTTAGGGGCACTAAATTGTGAGTTTTTTCATTTTATTCTTTGCTTTCCTCAGAATTTTACTGAAATTTCACCAGTGAAGGATTTTGCAAAATACTTGAGAACTAACCCGAGATTTATTATTGATTCTAGAATTCAGAGAGAAAAAGAAAGCAAGCAGAACCGTGTTTTTTGAGGAGAGGCATTTGTTTTATTTTTTTATTGCTGTATTAGGTGCTGTTACTTTCTGTAGCTGAGCTCTATGAAGAAATGTACTGCTCAATAATGTCATATTACTTCAGTGAAGAAGTCTTTAATATGATTTTTCCTAAAAGAGGAACCCTTAAAATTCTGTAGGGGTGCCAGCTCGGATCGTTTATGTTCTGCTCATGCACCTACAACCTGGAACAAGTTACCACCAATAAACTCAGAGGCTGTTGAACAATATCTTTCAGTACCTCGGTTGCAGCAGAGCTCTGTAAGTTGTGTTCATTTTTGTACTGGTGAAGAACTTCAAGCTGTTTGGAAATAAATTGCTCTGTGTCACTCGTTGAAATGAGCAATTTTACAGTTTGTGTTGGTTAGTATTTAATACACGGTCTTAACATGTTAATGTGTGTTACGTTGGGTTACCAGAACGCAAGAGAAGCCAGTTTAAAACCTCAGGTCAGAAACAGATCATGGTGGTAAGACTTTCCTCTGAAAACAGAATTTATTTTATTTTTTTTAAAAAAAAAAAAAAAAGGAAAGCAGCCAACCAACCAGATAGCAACCTTGCACTTGTATGCATCTGGATTTAAATAGCTCTTTTCAGTGTTTTATTCACTAATGTTAGGTTATAAGAAGTAGAAAATTACGCTGACTGAAGTAGAAAAGGATACTGACTGAAAAAAACCATAAATCTTGTTGATACTGGACTATTTTTGAAGGATAGGGAAGTATTAAATCACTACAATGAAAGTAAATTGACATTTTGATATTATTTTGCTTCTGAATAATATCTTGAATTGAGACACATGTAAAGTCTATTATTATTATAATTAATACAAGCCTCTGGGGATTATAGACTAATATTGGGGAAGAGTCTCAAATCTCTTTGAAAAACATTGAGTACCCTTAAGTTACCTTAAATCAGTGCCTTTGTTTACTGAAAACATATTTTTCTTTTCTTCTTCTCTTGTGTTTTTTTGTATGACAATGGAAAAATTATTTAACCAATTCAATTGCTGCCTTCTCTCAGTGCTCTTTTTAATTCTCTCAGCATCGAGGACGATATGCTCATAGCAGAGTGTCAAGTGCAGTGCCTAGCAGTACAGAGCAACGGCCGCTCAGAGAAAGAACTGTTGTTATTGATCAATTTTCAAGGCCCAACACAACTCATACATTCAGGGTATGTTACAACGTAAGTATAGAGACGTGGAAAAGTGAAGAAGCTTCTGTTCATGCCCACTGTTGGTCTACAGAAGCTCTCATTTCTTGCATCTCTCCTGATTTCTGGTGTACAGGAGTTCCTGCTACCTGTAGAGAGGAGGATGTTAAAAGGCTTTGGGGGAGGGGGTGTGGGACCTTGAAAAGCAGGACTAGTGTACGAGGAAGAGATTTTTTTCAAGTCTAATGCATCAGACAGTTCCTTTGAGGGTGTCTGTGCACTAGAAGTGTGCAGTTTTAGTACTGCTTGGAGCTTTGCAGCTTGGTAGGACTCACTCTGCTGGACTAGATCATAAAAACTGTAATCAAACCATTTCAGTAGATAAGCATACCATACTAGCAAATAGTATGTCTTTCCTTTTTACAGACAGACACACCTCAGAAAAGATCACTGACTCCCATGGATTTTGCTAACCACAGAGGGACAGGTCAAGGATTTTTAATAGGTAGGCAAAGTAAGAACCACTTGGAAGGCAAAAGGCCAACAAAACCTATTAACCTGTAGTACAGTTGAGAAGTAAAGCACTCGGGGAGAGCCATCTCGGCATAAAAGAAGAACAGGTATGCTTGGCAGGATCTTTTGAGTTTGGTTTTGAAGTTTCTTGTCACTTGGTCTGAGATAACCCTAACTAACTGTTAGGAACCCTGCAAAGCTTCTTTTTGTTGTTGTGTTGTGGAAGGAAAAGGATTCCCCCTCATCTTATTTTTTTTTTTTAAGATTTCAGCATATTTACAATTATGGCAAGAGTATATGGTGTACAGGCTAGATGTTTTGCAGCTGCTGGAGTAGCAACACAAATACATGTTTATGAACTGTTTCATGATAGAAATTTTATTTTAGCCCCCATATAATTTCACCAAATTAGTAAACTTTTTATGTGGGGAAAACTAAAATTGAAAATGTGCATTTTTAACATAAGTATAAAGCTCTCTTAAATAAATAAAAAAAAAAAATCAAGAATGATTTGCAATTATGTCTTCCATTTATAACACCGAAAAAGAGAGCAGTCCTACATGGCTTATTTAGTTCCATTGTTACAATAAAGCTGACTAGCTAGTTCCTGAGGTATTTGAGTGCTTGTATGTAACCTTTATTTGTTTGGAAGTTCCTTGAGTTTAAATAATTATATGATTATATAAAAGGTGATGTAAGAATAAAGGCAGGTTAGTAAACATGGATCTGAACAGGCTGATTGAAGTAACTCATCCATAATCTTGGACTGTCTTTCAGATTCTACCACAATTAACAAAAAATGTTTTGTCTTTTCTAGGCTCACAGAATTACTACAGATCCTTTCAGAGAAATCCTCCAACCTCAAGGAAGAGATTTCAGGTTGCTTCTTAACCCAGCTTAGGAAGAAAGAGAAACCCCCTGCACTGAATGGAAGACTGAAGCACTGAATTTGCCAGCTAGTATCTTGTGTAACAAAGAACATGTGCAGTATGCTGGTTTCTGTTGAGCCTTGCAATCCTCAGGATGCCTGCATTGCCTTCTTTTAAAGTTGTCTGACCAGAGGTTAGATTAAAAATTAGAGCAAAATGAAATAAATGGTTGAGGTGTCTGTTCTGTTTGCAGAGTCAAGATGCTGCTACACTTTCTTCTCAGGCATTCCTCCTTTTCTGTCTTTCCTTAGGGAATTGTTATTCTACCTAGAGAAGCAAGTAAGTTATGTTTAGGCCATGAAGTCCTGTTCCCACTTTTTCGTGTCTCCTCAGTGTTAAAGACATTCTAGTCTATCCAAACATCAGTCATATATAAAATTTATACTTGTAAACAGGAGTTTGTGGTATCTCCTCTTTAACTGCTGTTACAACGTTTCTCCATTTGTCTGTCTGTCTGGTTATTGCAGTTTTTTGTAAGTGTTGTCTGTCCCTACTTTTTCTTATGCCTTTAATTCCTTTGAGGTGGAATTCATTCATTGCTTCTGCTTACGCTGTTCTCATCGTCAGTAACTATGGGAACTGCTGGCATAAACTTTGGTTACAGAAAGCAATGTTTTCCCTGCCAGGCCAAATGTTTATAGATGCTGAGCAATTGAACCTGCATGCTGACAAGTTGGTAAGGCTGTTCCCACTTCTTGAGGTTTCGTATAAAATATTGCCTGTTATTGTACAAATTAATCATATTTTGAATATCTGAGCCTTCAAAGTTTTAACATGAAAATATGTACTTAACTGATGAAAGCATTATTTCATACCTCTTTGTGTAGACCCAAATGGGAAGATCAAAGAGGAGACTGGGATTGCGTTCTGCCCAGAGATCACAGCCCTGATCAGGTCCCTGGCTATTAGTACTGTGTGCATTTGCAGTCAGGGATTCCTCCTTCCATCAGAGATCCAGCAGTTTAAGTAGATGTGGTTGAAGAGCTGTTGAAGGGGAAAGGGAGGAGGAGAAAAAATTATTTGCCCAAATTGTGCAGTTAAGAATAGAATCAGTTTCTTCTACTTGGGAACTAATACTAGTTCTCCTTGCTTCTTTTTATGAATGTTCAAGGATTGGTAATCCAAGGCAAAGCATTTGTAATGTATATTTTATATCTGTACTGTTAATCAGATTTCTGGTTTTTGTAAATGGTCATCAAGCACTGCATTCTTTTGAGTAAATGAAAACATTTTTAAATTACTTTCCTGGCTTAGTATTTTTCTTCTTTGGCTACACTAAGTTTACTCACTGGTGATATTACCATATAGTTATCGGAGGAAGCAGAATGCTTTTGCTTTGGAGTTGCAGGTCGATTTCATACAGTTGCAGGTCAATTTGATACAGTTTCTTTGGAAATCTGAGGTCAAAGATGACATAATGTTAAAAATTCACATTTAAGACTTCAGTCGTGTGTCCAAAGTATACTTTTGTTCTCATCAGTACTCCCTCCCTATAGACATTGACAAGAATGCAGAGAAACGATGGCAAAATGGGTCCCTTGCCATCTTGTTGCACTTCATGGCAACCCAGAACTTACATTGTGGACTAAATGTAAAAGATGAATATGCGCTGGTTTGGTTCTGTAACAGCAAAAGTGGGAACCACACAGTGAAGAGTGGTTCATCATCTGGCACTTTGTGAAAGAGAGAAGATTGCTGACTTCTGCCAGGCAATGGAGCTCAGTCACTGGATTTTTGAATGGAGACAAAAGCAGAGCAACAAGCATCAGCTTCTGCAGCTGAAAAGGAAAGGGAAGATCTGCTAATTACTAGAGCAGCAATGGAATGCTCTCAGGTGGCAGAGGAGAGGAAAGAGGGATGTTTGGCTACCAGAATTATTTTAAAACTTTTCCCTTTTGGTTAGTTTTTGGGCACCTGACAGAATTACGGGTCATCTTATATCCTGATAATCAGCATGTTGGATAGTTCTTCACTCTTGATTTTTGTTTTTCTCATAGTTGTGGGACTAATAAGTCTCATTTTCCATACTACCTGCACACCCAAGTATTTACGAAGCCTGCTTATGCACAGGAATGTTGAAGTGAATGTCTTTGCAAATCTGGACCTCTAGGGCCATGATACAGCAGCAGCAGCTATGAACTGGGCCCCGTACTTACTTGGATGTAATCCTGAAGCCCAGAAGAAGGTTCTCAGAGAACTGGACAAGGTGTTTGGTACGTTTCCATTTCTCCTTTATCAAGGTTGAAGAAGTGGAGGTATGAATGTGTCTTGTGGCCCTTCTGGAGCTTTAAATAGCTAGAGGTGGTTGGGAGGGGTGCTGGAAGGTCTGCAGGAGAGTACTGAGAAAGTTTCTTAAGTAAAGGGCAGGGTTTTTCTTTTTTTTACTGTGAAGCGGTTTATAGAAAGTCACTTACTTGCTGTTGTTTTGACCCTTCTCCTCCCTTTCCCTTTTCTCCTCAAGAGAAAATCAAGTACCAAAAGGCACAAACGTTCTTGTCATAATTTACGCCCTGCACAGAGACGCCGAGACCTTTGCTGACCTGAGGTGTTCAGGCCTGAGCGATTCTTCCCTGAAAATTGTAAGGGAAGGCACCTGTATGCTTTCCAGATATTTAATGTTATTGATAGTTTGCATGTATCCACCACTTTGTAGCTGATGTCTGCGTTGTCGCTAAGGGGTGATGTGGAGGAAATTTCGCCCCCATTTTCCCCTTCAGTCTTGCAATGGTTTGACAGTAGGCTTTTCAGCTGGGTGTGTCAAGGTGTTCTTAGTGGGGGTGCTGGTGGGGTGGCCTCTGTGAGAAAATGCCAGAGAAAGCACAGCGGGTTCCTGCTGGCTCTGTAAGGGACCCACTGCAGGACATAGCTGAGCCCAGCAGCCAAGCTGGTCACGCCTCTGTGAAAATGTATTTAATAAAGGGTATAAAAAATGCTGGACAGACAGAGGAGGAGTGGGGAAAAAAAGGAGAGTGTGAAACAGCAGTGCAAACAACAAGGTCAGTGAAGGAGGAGGAGTTGGTGCTCCGGGCACCAGAGTGGAGGTTCCCCAGCAGCCCATGGAGAAACCATGCTGGAGCAGGTTTATCCTCAAGAGCTGCAGCCTGTGGAGCAGGAGAAAAGTGTGAGGAAGAGGAGGAGGGAGGAGCAGAGAGGAACTTTTTTGTCTTTGTTTCTCACTTCCCAATTCTCTATTTTTAACTGGCAATAAATTAAATTAAATTTCCCTGAGTTGAGTCTGTTTTGCCCATGATGGTAACTAATAAGCGATCTCCCAGTCTTTATCTTGACCCATGAGCTTTTTCACCCTGTTTTCTCTCCCTGTCTTGTTGAGAAGGGGGAGTGAGTAAGCAAATGGGTAGATGTCTGGCTGCTGGCCAAGACTAAGCCACCACAGCTTGTAACAGGCTGTTCCTATATCACTGTCTATATGTGTGCACATCAAATGTGGACAGTGAATTTCCTAGAGCAAATGTCAGACACCGAATCTTCCATGTTGCCAGAGTGCAGGTGGGCAGATTTGCAGTCTTGTGTGTTTCTATGACCTGCCATCACAAGTTCTTCCAGATCTTAAACTGACCTTTTTATTCATGCTCCATGACCTCTGGCTTGCTTCATGTAATGTGTAGCATGCTGCTAAATGCTTTCTTTAAACTTGCTAGAGTTTAGCAAGGAGGAGGCCCTGTAGGGTCTAGCCAAACCACGGAACAGTGGGCAGAATCTCCACCCGTGACCTTGGGGTGAGTTGTGGCCATCCAACTTGGGAGTATGCTTTTTCCTTGACACATAGATGAATAAACATAGGTGTGATGCTTTGATAGCTACTTAGTATTAATGTCTATTAGTTATGACAACATCACTGGTACATTATCAGAATTGGTTTACAATAGTAAGCTGTGTTCTGGGGGATGGGTGGTGGCCCAAGCTGCAACCTGCTTTGTTGCAAGGCATGCTTCTTCCTGGCGTGGAAGATTTTGGTTTCTTAGAGAGGAGGCAAACTTTTGTATTCTGTTGGGGATAATTCATTCATGCAAAACTTAATCTTGTGAAGGAATCCCATATGATGGCTACAGAACAGACCAGTTGTTGCTGTACAGTGAACACAGGTTGCAGAAACCATAGCAAGGTATGCTTGATTGAGGTGAGCAGCACAGCAGTCTGTCTCTGAAAAACATAGCTGTGGTCTCTGTCTCTCAAATGCTGTTAATCTCCTTTACCTGTTTGAGGAAAGATAATCCGCAGAAGGATTTGAAGCTGAAGTCATAGAATTGTTAAGGTTGGAATGGACCTCTGAGATTGAGTCCATTGAGTGTCTTTTCAAACGGAGACATGCTGTGGTGTCTTTTCTTTGTGCAGGTGATGGTTATTGTGGACTACAAATAGACTTCGGGTTTTTTTTTTTTTTCTTTTTTGCAGCGCGAGTAACTTCCTACATGAAGTTTAATCATGTTGTAATTGAAGTTTAATCGTGTTGTAATTGTGTATGTTGAGAAAGAGGGAAGCTCTTCCTAGGAAAAGCCCTTCCTAATTGCAAATGAATTGTAGCGATTACTAAGTTAGCTACTGGTTAGTCTTGCTTATTGTGGATGCTGTGTGCTTTGCAAGGGATGGCAAAAACATCAGGTGTGTCTTGGCTGGAGCAAAGGACTAATGTAAAGAGCACACCACAGTTTTTCAGAATGTGTTGTGTACTTCTCTTTTGTCCTTCTGTCGAATCAGATTCATTTTAGCCTTGCTTTGCTTTGGGTTTTTGTTTTCCTTGCTGGTAATGATGATTTTAATTGATTTCCTTATTGAAGAATCCAGACCTACATTCTAGGAACCAGCAGAAGCCTGTGTTACCATTGTGCTTGTGGACTGACATAGCTGCCTGACAGGAGGAGTGTCTCTGTCAGCATAGGCAGATGGGCTTCCACTTAGGTGTGAGGTTGAGTAAAAGCAGATCTGCACTGCGTTATGAAAGCAAAGATTCACTAACCCGTAGAGTGCCTGCTGAAACCCAACACTGAGCAAATAGCTCTCCAAGTGAAAAAGGAATGCTAAACGTAATCTCGTAGAAAAACCTATTGGTAGATCATAAAATCATAGAATCATCAAGGTTGGAAAAGACCCTTAAGATCATCGAGTCCAACCGTTAACCTAGCACTGCCAAGTCCACCACTAAACCATGTCCCTAAGCACCACATCTACCCGTCTTTTAAATACCTCCAGGGATGGAGACTCAACCACTTCCCTCAGCAGCCTGTTCCAATGCTTGACCACCCTTTTGGTGAAGAAGTTTTTCCTAATATCTAACCTAAACTTCCCCTGGCGCAGCTTGAGGCCGTTTCCTCTCGTCCTATTACTTGTTACTTGGGAGAAGAGACGGACCCCCACCTCACTACAACCTCCTTTCAGGTAGTTGTAGAGAGCAATAAGGTCTCCCCTCAGCCTTCTCTTCTCCAGACTAAACAACCCCAGCTCCCTCAGCCGCTCCTCATAAGACTTGTGCTCTAGACCCTTCACCAACTTCGTTGCCCTTCTCTGGACACGATGTCCAGATGTGTGCCTCTCTTACAGAACATCCTCCTTTTGAAACTTAGAGTCAAGGTTCATAATGATTGCAAATCTTGGTGACGTAATTAGGCCTCAGATATGCCAGACCTCTCATTTCTTTCTCTGGTACATCTTTTACATCTCCTTCCAATGTAGCTGCTGCCTTTTTTTTAGTAGCAGCATCAGCAATGCCAGCTGCTGGCAGGATTTTACAATGTTTGTTCTGCTGTGTTCCCTACTGCTTTCCCTGTGGCTTTTCACCCTGTCCCTGCTGTTTCGCTGTTTTTCTTTTTTTTTTTTTTTTTTCCTCCTCTCCTGCAGAAGGAGTTATCAGCAGTTAGAAACACAGATTTTTAACTCAGAATCACAATTAACCACTTCATCTAATTATCGGCTCCATGAAGGCAACAAACTGCAAGTTTTTTTTATAAAGAAGAGAGTATAATTACTGAGCTGATCTTCATGTTACAAAGACAAAAGGTGACCCTCTTAATCCTGCATGCTTGCTTCCTTCCTTCCTGGGCTGTCACCTGAACAGAAGAGTGGACTGATGTCTATGTAGCCTGCCTTATGTGTTGGCAAGACAGGGTATGTATCTTCTGCTTTCTATCACAAACGATTACAAATAACAGCAAGAGTAGCAAAGTTCGTTTCCAGCTCTTTACTGTGCAGAAAAATGCAACGGTCAGCATTTATGATGAAGGTTTTGCTGGGAGATTGCAGGAACAAAGTGCCAAAATTTACTCCTCTCTGCTGCCAAGGGTCATCAGCCCTTCCTTAGCTTCAGATGTGCTGTGCTTTGTCTATTTGTGTTTCTTATCTTAGCTGCTTTATTTATGCTGTTTGTTGGTTTTCTAAAAATGCTGGTGCAGTCAGTGCAGTCAATTTTGGTACAAAACAGACAGGAGAAACATGACGATGGCTTTAAGAAGCTTTTGTGGTATATTCAGGGGGTGAAGTTTTGCAAATTGGGTGTAAGCCATGCTGCCAATTCACTGAACTTCCGTTTGACCACGAGGTTTCTGAGCATTGGAGGCTTTGAGGAAGAGGTGCTCAGCAGCCCTGCAGCAGTGAGAAGAGACCCTGGCTCCTCCTGAGGCAGAAAGGGCAGCAGTGTTTATGGTGGGTATGGCACCACTTCTGCCCAAGAACTTTGCAAGTTGTGATACAGGTGCTGGTGCTGCCAGTCATGTTACTGGCACCCTTTACCCTGTGACTGTGAGTGTTCAACAGTGAGATCAGCAAAGGCCATTTGAGAAGCATCAGTGTGCTTTGCAGTGCTCTTGATCATGGGTTTTGAGCCATTAACCCAACTTAAGAAAGGTGCTCCACATCTGAAGCACTTGAAACCCTTCAGGCATCATGTTGGAGAGCACTGGAGCAGTTCTGTATGGCAAAATGGTGTTCCCTGAGCATGTGAAAACAGATGGAGAAAGGCGATGTTGAGAAAACCCATCAGCAAAAAGGTGTTTTTTCTCTTGACAGCAGTTTGTGTCTTTTCCTTCTGAGGTATTGCACAGGCCTGTGGAGAACTTCCTCACTCTTCATTTGAGTCAGAGGAGCCAAGTGAGAGCAAGGAAACAACACTGTTGCCTGTGGCTGCTCTGTCGTAAGGAAGTGCTTGCAGGCAGCCTCTCCGCATGTGTGTTTTTTAATCTTTGTTTATTTTCCTGGCAGGAAGCTGTGCCTTGGGGGCCATGTGACAGCTCCGCCTCCCACTTTCGTGGCCTGGGTCCTAGCACTCAGCTTGCTGCAGCACGGCAGCGGCGGGTACAGGCAGTGCCAGTTCCCCAGTTAGGGATCAAGGCTTGGAGCAGGAGGCTGCGAGGTGGCAATGGAGGTCATGCAGGGACCTGCAGGGGGACCCCAGCTGTTGCACTTGGGGGCTGGGGTCATCGCTCTGCTGTTGTCGGTTGTGGCCGTGTGCTCCCTGCCCTCCCTGATGGATTACTGGAAGCGATGGTGGGTGATGAAGCCAATCCCAGGTATCAGCCCCTGCTATCCTGTGCTGGGAAATGCTCTACTCTTGGAGCGTGAGGGAGAAGGTAAGGGCAGCTCACGTCATAGCCCAGCTGTGAGGTCCCTGCACTGTGTGGGGCTTTGCTGGAGGAGCCAGCACTGGTGAGGTGCTTGGGTGGTCGAGCTGTGGCTGGCTGGCGGGGGTTGTAGGGTGTGCCATTACCTTAAGGTCTCTCTGGGGCTGTGGGCAACGTGCAGAGGGGAGCTGTGTGAGAAGTGGGCAGTGGAGGGGAAAGGAGAGGAACTGCACAAATACGGGGTTATTATCAGTAAAGATTGGCTGGAGGTTCAGTCTGACAGTGGCTTCCAGATGCTGATGCTGGATTCGGACCTGTTTCCAGTTGTTGGTGAGGTGGAGCATGAACGCTGTGCAATGTGCTTTTGTGACAGGGAGGTGTGCTGGGTGCTCTCGCAGGAAGTGCTGTGTCACAACACGGAGCGCTGTGTCCCCGTGACTGTTAGCTGTGATCCAAACAAAGCTTTTAGCTTGCGAAGGAAAAATACTTCTTTAAACAATCATCTTCCCCCAAGTGAGCATGTGCAAGGGACTTTAGCATGCTCAGTTGCTGGGTCGTTTTCAGAATTAGCTGTGCCTTAGATTTATGCGTTAGATGCAGAAGAACTTGCTGAGTATTTGCAGTACGTTCCTCAAAAGCAAACTTTTCTGTTCTTGTATTGATCAACGGTACCTTCTTTTTGCCAGGTGCTTCAGAGGGCACTAATATGCTACACATTCCCTTTCCATTTGGTATGTGGTTTTGCACACAAACATATTTCTTGAGGAGTCTGTGGTGTGAAAGCGGCCCTGGCTGTGCTGTCAGTGGACCAGCAGACTTTTCCGAGTGTGTTTGTGATGCCTCTGTATGCCAGTCTGCTCTGTGCACATGTGTTCCTGGCTGTGCTGCCAGGTATGCTGCAGAAGAGAGAGTGACTGGCTCATGGGAACGTGGTGAAGCCGAGGACGAGTACAGCATGGGCATGCACGTTGTCCAGTGCTGGCACATGGTGAGACGTGGTCCCTCTGTTCACAAGGGTACACGCTCACATCTTTCTTCTGGATCCAACCCCATATCTAAATACAGATATGAGAGATCTTTGGTGGAAGTGAGGGCAAGCAGCTTTCTCTAGAGTTGACTTTTGGGAAGCAATGGCAGGATCATAGTCAGGATGTGTATATGAGCCTGACTGAGACACAAATATTTTTTCTTTCTTCTTTTTAAATCTTCTTAAAACAACAAAACAAAAAAGAACATCGCTTCTCTCTTTTCAGAAAGTAATTTGATGGAGACATGTTCTATGGAGCCTCTAATCTCCTTTGTTAGCAGGAATCACATAGCCTCCATGCTTTAGTTAAGTCCATGACCATCTGTCTTTGTTCTTGTTTATTTATGTAAAAATGAGTGAAGTTTGTGGTTTATAATCTTTTTCATTGAAAATGTGACAAAAAATAAAAGGTAGTTTTTAGAAAAAAGGATAAGGTTTTATAGCAGAAAGAAAAATTACTTTTCATCTGATGGTGATTTTATTTATTGATACTGGTAGACAAATGCTGGAACACTGTGATATGTTAATCATGGTGATGTTGCGAAACAACATTAAAAATAGCAAAATAATCTGATACTCTTAAGCCTTTTGGATGAGGTGTCATTAGAACTTTGCCTAAGACTAGGGAATGCTGTGTTTGGGCATCTATTAGGAAACTAATTTTTTTTCCTTTTCTTTTTTTCCTTTGATTTGGGGAATTTTTTCCACTCTGCAGAGGCCTTAGAGGGAGTCATTTGTCATTTAATCTGGTTTTTGAGAGAGCAAAGGTGTGTTTAATCCTTGAACATCCTGATAGTGGCCACCTTCTCTAGAATTGCAGAATGAACCTGATTGTCCTCTGTGGTGAGATAGCTGGATCTGTGAGCAAGGAAGAGCAGTAGATGGTGTTTAACTTGATTCAGCAAGGTCTTTGATACCATCTCCCATGCTTTCTGTATGGCTAAACTGACAAGATGTGTACTGGATAAGTGGATAATAATGTGCGTGGAGAATTGGCTGGATTGCTGAGCTTACTGGTATGCAGTCCAACTGGCAGCTGGACAATAGTGGTATCTCTCAGGTGGCCCATGGCATAAATAGTCCTATGAGTCTTTGTGCCCTTAGAGATGGAGATACCTGAATTGCCATATCTACAGTGGCCCCATAAGCAGTCACTTACCCTTCAGTAAGGTTTCTAAAAGGACAAGAACGGAGTTTAATCCTGGAGCAGCTAGCTGTTAAAAGCCCCTGCTAGAATTGCAAACTGTCACTGATGGTTTGGGCTGTCAGAGAGGGAGAGGATTTAAGCATGTTGGAGTAAGAAGTAATTTGTTTGCAGACAAGTGATAACAGTGTAAGAAAATCCAGAGATTTTCTTCAGGAGTCCAGCTATCAGAAAACAGACATTTCAAGTGATACTGGTTCCTGCACAGTGCTCTGCCATTACTGTGTGTGATGTCACTTGTGTGTGCACCACAAATGTAGTACCTGTCAATGAGGTCTCGGATGGGAAAAGACTTGATGCTGTACTTGGAAAGTAGAGAAGCGTCTTGACATAGCATTTTGACAAGTGTAGGCTAAGCCATAAGCATAGCTTTGATAAAGTTTGATTTGGCTCTAATTGTTGCAAAGAGCATTGCAATACAGAAGGCCCATGCTGCAGTGCTTTGAGACTGCTTAAATCAAACTGCCTTATCTACAGCTAGGAGGGGTTTCTCTAGAATAGAGTTGCCTTCAAGAGTGCCACCATAAAGAAATGCTCCTGCAGTACAGCTCATGGATAGGTGGAAAATATGCTGCTTGGTCATAGTAGCAAGATAAAACTACAACAAACACATAATTACAGGGCATATGGTAAGAAAGAGTTCATTACAGAAGTCTTGCTTATTCAGTAAAAAAAACCTTTTTTTTTTTTTTTTTTTAAATTCTAATCTGCTTTTTTCATTCCAGGTTTTTTTAGACAAATACAAGTTTATGTTGAAGAGTTCAGGAGTTGGCCACTGTTCAAACTTTGGATAGGACCATTGCCTGTCATGATTTTGTATCACCCTGACAGTGTGGAGGTGAGTGTGCTTGTCTCCTGTCTATTCTACTGTCATGCAAAGCAGTGTCCAACCTGTTAGTTTCTATTCTCTCAATGTAATTTTTGCAAAAAAGGGCTTGGACTGATTTTACTTGAGATTGTCCTCTGACCTAGTGCTAAAGAAAGGCTGAAAGTGGAAGAATATAAAAAGCCCGGTCTTGGAAAAAAAATAAATACTGAAGATGGCCAGCAAATGAAAGTACCAACTCAGTATGTTTTATACAAAGAAGCATCTCCTTTAGCTTTGTTTCCACATGTGTGAAAGCTTCTGTTCCCAAGATCAGAATGGACAACCAGATAGCAGGGAAGATGGGACCACTGAAATAGGGTTAGAACATTGTGAAATGCAGGTTGCAATGCTTGTTTCTGTTTGACTTCTGCATTAGAACTTGGCGGGTCTGTCTTGATGCCATGAAATGTAGTTGTTAGTTTTGCTGCTGACAATGATTGTCCCTGAATTGGGAAGATAGAGTTGTTTCTTTGTTGGAGTGTTTATTGAAGAGATAGTACTTCTTGTGAGTTTGGTTAAGGCTGGAAACCATTGGGTTTTCTCTGAGCTCTGCCTGTGACTTTGTAACACAGATTTTTCCTTTTCAGGAAGATAAGGGGAGTGGGCGTTTTTGAGTATTTCATTGTTTGTCAGGATTGGGATATTTACTGAAAGACTTGAGGGTGTCAACTCAATACCCTTTGTACCAGCCTGTGAAATATTGTGCATTTTACTGAGGCTCAGGGCATTTTTGTGGAGGAACTGAGGTTGCGTGAAGTAATCTCAGCTGAAGAAATCTCTCCAGCTAACAAGTGATGTTCTTTCCTCTCCTTTCATTTTTCTGACAGGTCATTCTGAGCAGTTCGAAACATATAGAAAAATCGTACCTGTACAAATTCCTGCAGCCATGGCTGGGCACTGGACTTCTGACGAGGTACAGTGAAATGCAGGTGCATTGCTGTCTTTTTGAAATTTGCAGGATATATGATAGGAAGAGGGCTTGACGGCAGGGATGCTGTGTGTATCTCTGGACAGAGATATAGATGATAGCTGTAGAAGTCTTATTCCTTGTGACGGTCTTGGTTGCTCTTTAGCAGCTGATGTCCGATAAAAATCTTTTGGCATTATCTGTTTCTTGGCAAATTTAGCCATTGTTACTTTTTTGCCCAGAGGCTTGAAATGAATGTGAGTTTTAGGAAGTCGTGTCCTATGGCAAGTGGTGTCTTTTAGTCTGCAGTGCTACATGCTGGATGTTTTTAATGTTGTGATGTGTGTCAAGTGGTTGGACTGTGGCAAAACTGTGACAGTGTGCATTGCTTATCTCAGCTGGTGACACTGCAAACCAGTAGGATAGGCCTGAGGTTGGTGAAGCTTTGGGGTAGGATGGGAGAGTATCCGCACCCTGTCCTGGGTAAGAGCGCAAGTCAGGAGTGGAGGGAGGGAGGAGCGGTGATATAAGGGTTTGGTGTCCTCCGGTCTTGGGAGGGTCAAGGAGGGTTTGGTCTGGATGATGCAGATATTCAAGAGTCAGAGCAAGGTGAGTGTAGAGCAGCTCTGGTGCCTCTTCTGTGTTTTTGTGAGAAGGTCAAGGTCCCCCTGTTAGCAGTGGAGCTTTTCTGCCTGTTTGGAGCCCTCAGAGGTGAACTCCTCATGCTTCATGATGGGACCATGGTGTTGTAAAAGCCAGCGGTGATCACATGGTGTGGGAGGTGCAAGTTTACGTGAGAGCATGAGAAATGCCTTTTATCCTGAGTTTCATTCATGGCCTTAAGAAAGCAGTAGTCAGTAGCAAATGGCAGAGAGCTGAGGTCCATGGGCATCAGGCATGTTGTATTGTCACTGTTTGTTAGTCGTCTTCCTTACTGGTTGTTTTGTCTCCAGTAGACTTTTAGAGGTGTTTTGACTTCCTTGTGCTTGCAAAAACATAATGGAGGAGAATGTTCAAGTCTCTGGTGATTATTAAGAGCAGTAGTGGTAGACAGCAAGCAGATAAGCTGGCCTGAGGAGTGCCTCAATAGCAGGTTAACAGGAGAAGTGGTGTGATGGCTTACCCTGTAAGCAGAGCTGCCAGTTGTGTGCCTGTGGGGCACATGATTCAGAAAAAGAGAACAAGAACCCCCAGGAAGCTGGTGTCATCCACTGTGGCTGCATGCTCTTTCACTGACATGTTGGAGGTGGTTGCCTGTCTCCAAGGAAATATTTTGTAGCCAGACCTTGAGGCAGTCATTTGCGTAATGTCCATGGATCTTAGTTCTCTGCAATCCTCATTTCCTAGTCAGCGGATGAAGGCAAGCATGGGTGGTGATTCATAGAGACAATGTGATGAGTTGATGCCTTGATGCTGAATTGCTAGTTTGTCCTACAGATGGCTTCTGCTCAATCCTTCTGAGCCTGTGCACTGAGCAACCACGAGACTGTGTTGCCTGAAGGCTTGTTGCCATCTCCTTTTGTTGAGAGCAGCTATAGAAATGGTGGCTTGTGCTTCGAAGAGAGCTGGAGCAAGAAATATTTCCATTTTGCTTCTTCTAGGGAGTGCTATGGACAGAGCTATAGAAGAGTCATCTACAGTGTGTCCATCTGTGAAGGTGTTCCAGGCTGCAGTTTTTACTGTGTGCTTCCTGTGATGGTGAGGGTTTTATTTTTGATTTGGAATTTTTAACCATTCCTTCTCCCTGTTAATTTTGCAGCACTGGAGACAAGTGGCGGTCACGTAGGAAAATGATAACTCCCACGTTCCACTTTGCAATCTTAACTGACTTTCTAGAGGTAATGAATGAACAAGGAGGTATTTTGTTGGAGAAACTTGAGAAGCATGTTGACAAGGAACCATTTGATATATTTATGGATATCACTCTGTGTGCCCTTGATATCATCTGTGGTAAGTCCTCTTCAGTTATTGTGGTGGGGCTATGATGCAGAGGCTCATGAGTACAGCTGTGCCATGTTGTGTGTGGAGATGGTTGAAGAGGAGTGTCCCTGCATATTGTGTGAATGCATTTCCACTGTCCCAAGGCGTTCCTTTCTCCTAGGGTGCCTTGTGTGCATCTGAGCAGGTGAGTTTGTGGGATGGGCAGGGCAGAGGTAGCAGTCTGAAATGAGGTTGTGTTGAGGACCAGGGTTCCTGGGCATGGAAATGTAAAGTGAACTCATCACCTGGAAAGGGATGTGTGTATTCACCTGTCGAAGGGATGGTGTGGTGATAGTCAGAAGCTGGAAGCAGTAGTAACTTATATACAGGGACTCTGCATTTCACTTTGCACTCGTGAACTATTGATGATTTTGTCCTCCTAGAAACTGCAATGGGCAAGAATGTGGGTGCTCAGGAGAATACGGATTCTGAGTATGTTCGTGCTGTCTACAGGTAAATGGACATTTTCCTTGGCTACTTTGCAGTTGGGCTGGAGTTGCTGCTGCTGGTGTCAGGAGTTCATCTGCTGTGAGCCAGGAGCGAGGGCTGAGGGGTCGCAGATGGAGGTAGAAAGCCAAGAAGGCAGGAAAAACTCCTGCAGATTTTGATGTGTTTTCTGGTACGAGTATATGCAATGGGAGGCTGAGGCTTTGAAGAGGTGTCAGCTGCCATTCAGTTAATGCATTGGTACAAGAGGTTAAAAAAAAAAAAAGTGGAGTTGCAACACTTCATATCAGCATGACTGGCATAATTGGGAGGGTGCTGTTTTAGACAGCGTATTAAAGCTGAGGCACAGCTGCTCTGTAGTTCACAGCAGTATTTACACCATTCAAATTGTATGTGACTGTCCAGTGATTAGGAAAAGCATGGTCTATATTCCTGCCATACTGGTGTGTCAGTCTAGAGGAGATGTAGCTGCTTGTGGCATCTCACCCCTAGCCTTTGATGGGGCTCCACAAAAGAGGGGCGGAGTTAGAGGGTTTGATTGCCATCAGTTCCTTGGTCTTTCCCAAATTGTACCACAAGTGGGCCCAAATTTGGCCTAAATGTAATAATTACTCCTTGAAGTCTCTTTTTGCAGCCAAAAGCATGTGCAAGAGCTGAATAGCAATGACGATCAGCCCTTCCAAATGTACTCCAGTTGTGTTTGAGCGTACTTGAAGTCTCATATTCTTCATTTTAAATATTTTTCATGTGCTGTCTAGCATATATGGTATCTGCACAGTCAAGTAGGAATGTAAGGCTTTCAGATGGCTGTTTGAGGTCAGGGGGCAGATATTTTGGAACCCTGGCGTGAGTAGTCTTTTCAGGATGTATGTGTCTTTTCAGCATGGTCAATGCTTTACTGATGTGGAGTGGGACTGGACTGGATGACTTAATATGTCTGTTTCAAGAGGATTCCCACTAAATGAGAATATGCTCTCCTTCTCAGAGATCAGTGCTTAAAGATATAAATCATGATGATTCTGGGACAGGTGACAGAAATTTTGAGATGGTTTAAAATCAGGAAACAAATATGAACAGCCTTCTCTTCAGATAAATGGGTTTAAACCCACACAATATGTCAAGTCCTGCTTCGTTGGGGAGGTAGAACTTATTTTTGTTCTTGAAAGTGTGCTGTAAATTTGTTTTTTGGCAAGAAATGTTACATGATGTAATTGTTGTGCCCCTAGGATGAGCGATCTAATCCAACAGCGACAGAAGAGCCCTTGGCTTTGGCCTGATCTTGTATATATGCTGTTCAAGGAAGGAAGAGAGCATGAGAGGAACCTCAGGATCCTTCACAATTTTACAGATAGAGTATAGATTCTTTTTTTTTTTTTCCATTTTTTCTTTTCATGGTACATTTTAGTTGTTGGAGCGAAGTCCTGTGCTCAATAGAGAGCTTCCAAATGGGGGTGAGGTTCAGCCCCCCTTGATATGCATGCATTAAGAGGAGAACTATCTCTCTGTTGGCATGCCAAGGAATTCACTGAAAAGAATACAACAGCTGACTTCCCCGTCAGGAGCTCTGTTGTATTTAAGCAAGGGAGTAGCAGGACTTACAGGACCTTGACAACCGAACAAACAACAGGAATTCATTGAACTCTTGTTCTGCCCCAGATGCTCCACATCTGAATCACCTGCAACAGCTCCCTGCCAAGTTTGTAGCAGTAAGCATAGGGCTCTGCTTGGTAATGCTGCTTGGTCCAGCCCTCAGAAATGGAAGCCTGTATTCATTTTCCCCTATTCAGAGCAGAACTGCTGAGATGAGCAAACATATGCAGGTCCCCACATCAGCAGTAAGACACTTCAACTGAGAAACCATTAAGCATACATCACTCACTTGGCATAAAATGCAGTGTTCTCTCACCATGTTAGACTGCCCAAGTAACACCCCTTTCTCTCACCGAATAGTTCCCGTGCTATTCTTGCTAATGGTTTCCCTCCCAAAGCTAATGTTAGGATGTTACCAGGGAGGCTGTTTTCCCTGAAACAGATGTGTGTACCCCACAATGTCATTGTATCAATGCCCATGAAAAAGGAAATAATCTCTGAACTTTCACTACATATAATGAGCCACATTGACTCTGCGTTGTTTTTAAGTAGTTCATGTTTTGCTTCCTTTTATTGAGAATTGCAGCAGCAAGGCATGAGAGTGGCTCTTAAAAGGACCTAAGGTAACGCTCTCTTCCCATGCTGGGCTGGTGCACTGAATATAAGAAGCCAAATCTTAGAAGATGACAAAGGAAGAGTAAATAATAATATCACCTAGTGTAGGTGCTGACAGAAAGCACTGAGACAAAAGGTGGTTCAATATGTGTCTTTATATAAAAACGTGTGTGTATATAATTGTATTTTTTTTTCCTGTTCAGTGCTTCCTCTGAACAGAATTGCTTACTCTACACCCTTTATTTTTAATTATTTTGTTATTGTTGAGAGCAATACCAGTTTATTGAAGGGTTCTGTTTTGCTGTTATGACAACGGTGGCAACAGCAAGAAATCTCTGTCTGTCACTGGGGCTGTGCTTTGACCTAAAAAAGGGAAGTTCAACCATTGCTCTCATACTGAAGAAAATTTGGGAAGCTTTAGTGTAGTGGTTCCAGCCATGCTATGTGTAGTCCTGATGCAGGGTTGTGGGGTGCCCTGGCTTCCCTTCAATCTCCTGGGTTCCCCAGAGGTTGGAGATGTGATCCTTTCCTTAGTTATTGGATAGGGTAGAGAATATCTTCCTGGTGATCAGTCTGTCAAATTGTGGTGATGTTTTTTTGATTTGCTGTCGCTATTGTTGGCATTCATGATTGGCTTGTTCCAGATGATATTCTGGATGTGTTTACACTTCTTGATGATCAACACGTTGTTTGCATAGTTTGGCTATCTATTTTCTTGATCACATAAAGGCTATTCAAGGTTCATTCTATTGCTTGGGACAAGAGGGATTGGTCATATTTCACCTACTAACACAAAAAGTCAGTTAAAGTTCATGAGCTAATGCTGACAGGTATGCTACCTAGCTCATGTAGACTGCTACAAATGAAGGTTGTTCTAATAAGTTGGGACAAACCTGTGTGATGTAGACTGTGCGCATGTGCTGCGTGCATCATATCTAATGTAACGTTTCTAATCTCAGGTCATTTCAGAAAAAGCTGCAGAACTTGAAAACACCAAGCAAATGAAATGCGATACTGATGGCAACTGTGAAGAAAGTGGCTCCAAAAAGAGAAAAGCTTTCCTGGACCTGCTGCTGAGTGCAACAGATGATGAAGGGAACAAATTGAGCTACAGGGACATTCGTGAAGAAGTGGATACCTTCATGTTTGAGGTACCCAAGGAGCCCATTGGTTTGTTGTTTTTGTTTGCCCCCCTGCCCCTCGCCCAGAACCTGAGAGTCACCATTTGCAGGTAGTGACTCTTCTTAGTTCAGGAGGTTGCTTTTGGTATGAAGTTATTTTAGCCCTGGAAGCCTAAGAAGGAAATCTCTGTAGGATAGAAACTACTGAAGGATAGAAACATTTGATCCAGAATTGTGTGCCCTGGCAAAATGTTGGGCAATAGACATGTAGCAGGCCCTGCCTATGTGATCAGGCTCTACTCATGAAAGCAGGTGAGTAATAAGAGCTTAATGGCTGATGTGAGCCATGGGCTCTCAGCTCCTGTTGCAAACCTCATTAATGCTAAAGAGAGCTCTAAATGGTTTCAGTGTTTTGCCTTGCATTTTGTCGGCTCTCCCCACATTTTGTCCCTTGCCACATTGGCTGTAATGTCCTGGTTCTGTCGTCAACTGCATTGGTGTACTGTCTTCTCATGTCTGGTTCTCTGTCCAATGAAGGATCTAACCAAGACTTTCACAAGTGTTCCACACAACTCTGTTAGGTGGACCTGAATTCTATCTCAGAAGAGCTTAATTCACAGTCATGTTACTGCTGTTGTAACCTAGAGAAACTCTCTTCCCATCCTACCATTCCTGTACTACTTCGTAGCTGAATTTTGAAGAGGTGCAGCATTCTGAACTTCACAAGTGCACCTTTTTAGTACCAAAATCCTTTGTTGGTCAACTTTTTTTCTGTTCCCCTCTTCCTCTCCTCCCCCTTTTTTTTTTTTTTTTGTTCCCCTTCCCTTTGTTTCCTTTCCTTCCCAAGTTTTTATGCGGTACTGAACTGTAGTAGCTGATCACCTCATAGGAAAACAAGTAGTATTGCCTCCTATGGTCACTGTACTGTGTCTCGTTAGACCCTTTTTTGGATAGTTTTGTAAAGGCTACAGATTGTGTCCATTGTATCTCTCCTGTGGTAATTGTTGGCTCCCCAGATGTTACGTTGTTGACTGGACAGTAACCAAAAAGATGAATATACATCTGTTTCTTTGTGTAGATACTGATAGTTCATGCAGCTTCCAGGAGGCAGAGGAGAGGGATGTTTGCTTGGATTATTTCAACACTTTTCCCTCTTGGTCAGTTTTCAGGCACCTGACAGAATCATGGGTCATCTTATATCCTGATAATCAACATGTGGGATAGAGTTCTTCACTGTTGATTTTTGTTTTTCTCATGGTCATGGGACTAATAAGTCTTATTTTCCATACTACCTGCACACCCAAGTATTTACGAAGCCTACTTATGCACAGGAATGTTGTTGAAGTGAATGTCTTTGTAAATCTGGACCTCTAGGGTCATGACACAACAGCAGCGGCTATGAACTGGGCCCTGTATTTACTTGGACATAATCCTGAAGCCCAGAAGAAGGTTCACAGAGAACTGGATGAGGTGTTTGGTATGTTTCCATTCCCCCCTTCACTGGGGTTGTGGTGGTGGTTGCATTTATGAGTGGGGATGTGATACATTATAAGCCTCAATGTAGAAGGGGAGGTCGGAACATGCCTTGTGGCCCTTTCTGGAGCTTTCAATAGCTACAGGTGATTGGGATGGGTGCCAGAAGGTCTGTAGTACAGCCAACCTTATGTCTTTGGGGCAAGGCATGCATGTTCAATGTATGTGTAGCACCTTCTCCTACGTGGTCTTGGTGCATGATGAGAGTTCCTGGAGGGAGCTGGGATGAGTTTGTTTAACCAAAAATGGGGAGTTTTGGTCTTGCTCATCCCCCTATTTGTTTTTGGACAGGCAACACTGAGCGTCCTGTTACAATGGACGATTTGAAGAAGCTTCAATACCTTGAGTGTGTTGTGAAAGAAGCCCTTCGGCTCTTCCCTTCAGTTCCACTGTTTGCCCGTGCGTTGAGAGAGGATTGCTGTATCAGTAAGTAGTGTCCTGCATTTGCCACTCCCTATCCTGCTAGCATCTCCTCCGTGGAGGTGTTTCCCAAGTAAAGGGCAGCGTTGTTTTATTTTTTACTGTGCTGTTGTGTATAGAAAGTCACTTATTTGCTGTTATTTCAAGCCTTCTCACTTTCCCTTTTGTCTTTAGGAGGATATCGGGTACCAAAAGGCACAAATGTTATTGTTGTAACTTATGCCCTGCATAGAGACCCCGAGATCTTCCCTGACCCGGAGGAGTTCAGGCCTGAGCGATTCTTCCCTGAAAATTGTAAGGGAAGGCACCCATATGCTTATGTGCCCTTCTCAGCTGGTCCTAGGAACTGCATTGGTAGGTAGCTGAAGAGGAAGCCTTTGTAATGTGACAGTGCTGGTTTTGGTGTGGGAACTGTGTCAGCAGCAAGTGTATCAGAAATGTAAGCCTTGATGTGCCTGATGGTCTTGTCCTGTCCCGTCGTCCTCCCCTGGCCCCCAAATTCTGGGAACTGTCTCCCCCGTGAGCTGGGCGCTTGAGCTGCCACATTTTGTTTCTTCCCAACGGTTTCCTTTTTTCCCAGGGGCCAGTGTCTATCATGCTGGTGTTTTCTCCTCACTGCCTGTGCAGCCTGTCAGCATGTTAATGGGCTCCTGTGAGGACAGGATTGCTTCCAAATTTCTGATCCTCAGTGTCAGCAAGACAGAGCAAGAGAAGGCAAAGGCAAATGTCCTGCACTTGTTTTGCTCTGGAAACATCTCATCTGTCTATCTCATGATCTCAGCTGAGTGTCCCAAACATGCTGTCTGCAACTGATGTATTCTTTCCCTCTCTCACACTATTGTTGCTCTGGTGTTTTCCCTGTTGTCCCAGAACTTGTTAGTTCTTCAGGTGCCACTGAAACACCTGGCATTTATCTGTGCTCAAAGTAGAGGCATAGTTGTTTATATCGTAGAACACATGAAAAGACTGTTCCCTGCACTGATCATAAGTGCAGGTGGGGAACATTCAGGGATTCTCATGCCATTTACAAGAACAGGAAATACAACTTCTGGGTTTTTGGTTTCATTTGTTTTCTTTTGGGGGTGGGGTTGTTTTGTTTGGTTTTAATTTGTCTCATTTGGAATAGGTGCCCTTCCAATAAGAACAGCAGACTAGGTCTTCCTGTGTTCCAAAGAGGAATCTAATTTAATATTACATGTCTAGCTAGTTCCTGGGTGTACAGGAACATGTGCAGGAGAGGTGGTTCATTAATATCATTGCAGAAATACATCACTGTGTACATGTGTACAGACATCCGTAAGTGCATATTATACAGAGGGGAACACAGAAGAAGTTTTGAGCCCTGGGTTTTGTGTCCTGTTCCCATTTTCAGTTTAGTTTGAGTGAACTGCCAGAATTGTGACACTTGGTTTGGTTTCCCTCATATTTCTCTGTTCTCCCCTTTCCTCCTCCACCTTTCTCTGTAATGTAAATTGAACTCTGCCCTCTGCGCTACCAAATCATCAGTGTGTATGATGCTTAGTGTCCATTGAAGGAAGGTCTACGTGTTGTTCTATTGCAGTTCTATCTTCTTTGCTCCTCTCTGCACATATGGAACAGTGGGATTTGTCTCTCCTTGCAGTCTCTGTGTTGCATCTTCTCCTGCTCTGGTCTGTCATCCATTCCCCCCTACCTAGTCCATCCAAGAGACATGCTAAGACTGTGTTTTGTATTAGTTCCATGTAAAGTGTTGACTGTTTCCTCCTTGCTGTTTGAGTTCTGTGTGCTGTGGCAAAGAGGACGTGCTGTGGATTGTCCCGGGAAGGCCAGAGTTGTCACGCAGAGAAAAGTGCTAGTTTCATTAGTATCCACGTGACCTTGAGTTTTGGCCGAAAGCCAGTTCTGTTCTCAAGGCAGATGCACAGTCCTTGCTGTCCTGTGTTCCTAGGGCTATCACTGTGACCGTGCAAATGCAGCAACTGTTGATGCAACCTGACAATAACATCTTTTTTTTTTTTTTTTTTTTTTTTTTTCTGCCCTGTAACTTGTAGGTCAGCGCTTTGCACAAATGGAGGAGAAAGCTCTTCTAGCCCTCATCCTGCGGCGCTTTTGGGTGGACTCGTGTCAAAAGCCAGAAGAGCTTGGTATAACTGGAGAACTGATTCTTCGGCCAAATAATGGCATCTGGATTAAGCTGAAGAGAAGGCCAAATGCTGGATCAGAATGAAATGAAATTCAAGATCTTATTTTTCCAAAAACTTCCAAGTTATTTAGGCTTAGATATGTTTTTAAATCGGATATTTTGATGGCAGTCCAGCAATTTGTTGAAACTAAAGTTTTTAGTGATTGTTTCATTAAAGATGATGTTGTAATAGCCCTAAATTGCTCTACTTTTCTACTACATGTGAACTTCATGTTCATCTTGGAAGTGCAAGTCTTTAAACATCAAATCTTATCTACTCGGATGAAACTATTCTATTGCAACAGTGCAAAAAAACTTAAATTATGGTAGTAGCAATAATAATGCCTGTGATGGAGCGATCTGGTTAAATTCCATAGCATTTGCGAGGTAACTGATAGTCTCAAATCTCTGTGTAGTTTTCAGGTTTCTTTGGTTCTGAAAGGTGCAAGTGATCAATTCTTCCACTTGGCACAATTTTTTTTCTGTTTTGGTGATGACTGCATCTATGAAGACAAAGGAAAAATCTCTCAATTTCAGTCTTCCTTTGTAAGCATTTACAGTAATTCTTTAGCGAGTGCTCTGAATTATTTTTTAGCAAAGCATACCATAAGCATTAATCTGTATAATCATACCATGAACTAGATAGTGTGCAAATTACACACAGGATTTCATAATGACAGAAACACTGTATTATTACAAATTTTGAGAATAAACTTCTACTATGCCTCGATATGGAATGAAATTATATCTGTAAAAATTACATGCCTGGGTGTAGGTAAGTTACTGATGGATAATTATTTCTTATCAGTTCCTCTGGGATGATCAATCAACCAGATTTTACTGTGTTAGTCCAGGGTGAAACAACGAGCCAGTCTGCTCTTGCCTTCTAGGGTCCCGAAGGTGACATAGAGGATTTCTTGCTAATTGATGTCAAAGAGGAATTGCAGTGATGGAATGAAGCGCCTGTGAAAGTTTCTGACTGTACCTTCAGGACAAGTCAAAATCTGCAACAAACCACACAGCTGGAGAATAGATTCTCCATGACTTTTGTAAGCACTGAAGAAAAAGCTGGTGCTAGACCAAGCTGAGGTCCTCTAGCTGGTCCGCCCTTTACTTCTGGCCTGTGCTTTGGCACATCTTTTGGCTGGTGTGTGTTACCCCAGCATGACCCTGGCACTGTACAAAGAAGGGCGCACACTGATAACCACACCTCTGTCTTTAGCTGCTGATGCTGCAGTTGCTCTTGCCACTGTGGTTGGTGGTGGGGGTTTGAGGGGTACTATCACCTTTAGGTTGTTCTGGGGCTATAGGCAACCTGCAGAGGGGAACTGGATGAGAAGCTAGAGGTCAGAGCTGATACGGCTAATATGGACTAGTCCACCTGTAATGCTTAATGTGTTGCAGAGTAAGAAAGGAGTAGTCTGTCCTTATTGGTTTTGTTGACCTTTACAAATTCTTTTCTTTCTCTGTTTCCTTGTGCCCTTTTAACAACAGTGGTTTAATACCTGGGATACTGCTGTGCTTTGTAGAACATCAGAATAGGGAGAAAATAATTCCTATGTTTTCCAACTAAATTAGAGGTTCCCTTGAACTTGCTGAATTCTTTATATTCTGATAAACCTAGTTTTTCCCGTTTTCTGAGGATCTTATAAAAATAAAGGATTTAACTGCTTAGTTTACATCAATGAAATCACAGACCTTGACAAATAGTTTATTGTAATTGCTACCTTTCTTTTGCCATTAAGAAAACAAAAGTCATGTAACAATGATAATATGGTTCCATTCTTCCGCCTTCATTTTGAAAGATGGGTTTCCTTGCTAGATAATAACAAGAATTTAAGTTTACAGGGCTGATTGTAAAAATTGTTTTCTTTCTAATGAGATAATGTAAGAAGGTAGTCTTGAAAGTTAATACACATAAAACAAATGACACGTTTTCCAAAGAGACTCTAAGTTAAGGAATTATGTAGCACTTTTGGGTATTTGGTAATGTGAGCTTTGCAGGCATACAAGATTTGCATATGGAAAACATTTTCTCAGGACATTTGGTATGTAGCTGAAACCTGGAGAGGTACCTCGTGTTTTGTTAAACTATACCCTTAAATTGAGGACTTTCAAGACAAATGAAAACTAATATTAATTCCTTCTCTTCTGTGGGATCTATTTTGTGGAAACAGTTTTTAAAATTGACCAAATGGTAACAATTCTCTCCATAAGGAGAAAATTTTTCTGACATCTATCTACAATGACCAATATTCTGCTTCTGCTTTGTTTTTGTGCCATACTCTTCTCATATAATGGGATCTCAAGTAAGTTGTAATTTCTTTATGATCTCTCACGGGAACAAGAGAAAAATAATTGAGACAAAAACTGGATAAAACTGTAATGAGAAACTCATTGAAAGTACATGGGCTCAAATGCTGGCACAGGGTTACCAAAATGGAAAATCCTTATTTAATGATGCACATAGTATCTTTGCCAAGAGGAGCACTGATGTAATCCTGTAGTCTTTGTGTTCAGAGCTGTTCTGAAAAGGCAGTGACCTCTTGTCTTTTGTTGTGAAAACTGGTTCTGAAGCAATCTGAGGCTGCTAAGGAAATAAATATTGAGGCAATCAATACTGAAAGAAGAGGAACTTTCTGCCTGCAGGGTAGATGTTGGACACCTCGTGTTGTGTGGAGTGTGTCCTTTTATTAACCTGAGTCATGTGGTGTGTAAATGCTGGTTGTGGTCAGCAACAGCCCTTGAGGTTTGTTGTTTGTCTGTTTGGTTTTTTTAAACCCTGTAGGACTTAGGAATGCAATGCAGCCTTGCCAGGTTTCCTGATTAAGTAATGGGACAACAAATACAGTGTCATAAAAACTGCATGTGCATAGCAGCTGTTTGTGATTTTGTCCTGATGGCTAGGTGTCTGCTGATGGTATGAAGGTAGTGGCTGAACTCTAAACCCAAATATTACTGCTGGGTAATGATTCATATAGGGTAATCTCAATGATGCTAATCATGGGATGGTGCTGGCTCTGTTTCTGAATTATGACTGCCTTGCTGTAAGAAGTTGATAGCCTTTGTCTCATAAAGATCCCTTTAGTATGGTAACGGAAAGGACACAACTTTCTCCTGGGATGACAGAAATAGCGTGCGTGAGTGTTTCTGGATCATGGTTTACAGCTGTTATGAAGAAAGCTGACAGCAAACACTCTGTGTGGCCTCTTGGGTGATGCTGCTTGAAAGCGCTTCCAGGGCTGCCTCAGAGCCACTAGAGGTTTCGAGCCACCTTGACCCAAACTGCTTTTTGGGCTCTGAAAGCTGCATGTTTGGGAAACACGCAGGAGATGGACTAGTGGTGCTTACTAGACATCTGCCTGCCTTCCTGAATTTAATCCTCATGCTGCAAAAGATAAGCACTCATGTACAGATGTTAGTACACTGCTGCATACAGATCCTCTTGTCACGTGTGATCTAACATGTCATCTCACTGATACTCCTCTTCCAGCAGGTGAAAGACTCAAAGAGCCTTCGTTTGGAGAATCCTACCCCACTTTCCTTCCTCAAAGCAGTATCAGTGCCACCCCCTGGCAAACCTCCCAGTATAGTACTACCTCAGTTCATAGTCAGGTCATATTTAGAAGATGATCTTCATAGTTTGCGTGGATTAAAAACTAAATTAAATCACTTTCTAAAAAAAAAAAAAAAAAATTCTTCTGAAAATGGGAGAAGAAATGGGTTTTTCTGATCCATGCCTGGAGTGTAGCTTGTGGAGATGGAAAGTGTTCCTTGAAAATGCAAATTATTTTGAGTGAAGAGAGGCAGTCAGCAAAAAACTGTATGCCCAAACCTCCAGACCTGACTCCAGGCTAGTAGTTCAGGGACACATATAATGTGCTCAAGAGTTAGTCTGACAATTTACAGGGCCTGGTCAAGACTCCAGAACCCTTCAGTACATTGAAATGTTCTGTCTTCTCTAGTGTCTAACAATAACCAGCATCAGGTGTTTTAGCTGCAAGAAGCAAGGCCTTGGGCATTTATGTGATTCTCCATTTATAAGAAAAAATGAAATCTATTCATAAGAAAAAATCAAAGAAGCCCTCTTACAAAACAAACCCGGTAGCGATTTGTTGTTTAATATTTGCAACTGTCTTACATGTTTTCTATGATCCTGAATTTGGTCTGCATTGATTTCTTATTTGACATCTGATGTGCAGTTATTTCTGGGCTGTATTTCTAGGAAGGCTATTGTTGACATGTAATTGCAGAATATGGAACTACTATATGGCTTTTCTTTCCATACAATATGCAATCCAGCACTTCCCACAAATCAGTGAATAAGTTATTCTAGCCAGCTTTTTGCAGCCATTTTGGGTGCAATCAAGTCAAACACGAGAAGACTTTGGCCTAGTGAGAGAGCGGATTCTTCACTCAGATAATGTCATCTGGACTCAGATGAAAAGGCTCCGGATTGTTCATTGTAAAAAGGAAAGATCAAGATTTAATTTTTAGAAGTTGTTTTAGCAGCATTTGGTGTTTCACTCTGTCCTTTGTCATGTACATAGTGGCAACCATGCAGAATTAAAGATACACAGAGAATACTTTAGGCTATTTGTTTTTTTTTTTTCCTACTGGAAAATTCAGAACCGAGTTTGTGATATTATTATAGCACCCTCATTCAGATGGAAGGATGTCCACAAAGCCATATCGAAATGAGAACTTGGGTTGTTCCTGTTTTACTGGTACCTTTCTTCCCTCCTTCCCTCTGAGATGTTCTTCCTCTTGTTCCACGTCACAACTGGTGGGTGTCTTACCACAAAGAGTAGATTCTCTCCCATGTTGAAGCTGCTCTTTGAATAGGATTGCCATAAGAAATGTGGGATTTTCTTTTGGCAGGCAGAATTAGACCTAAATCAGACTAGAGTCCAGTCATTCATTTCCTGAGGTGAAACAATTCAGTAATTCCTGCCACCTTTCCTGCAGATGAATGAGATTTTGCATAAATCACAGTGGCAATCAGCAGAAAGCAGTATCAAGCTAGCAGGCAATTGCACTGCCAGGGAGGTTTCATCTTAAAGAACTTGCTGACAGCTTAGGCTGAAGCAGGTTTTGTTTTGTTTTGTTTTAAATAC